ATAAGGGAAGAAATTTAATAAGTTCAAAGCATAACGGACCGAAACTAATAAGTTAGTAAATTATAAAGGACCATTTGTGATAAAAATCGTGAACTATGATAGTGCTTTTTTAGAAAAGCACTTGACATTCATTGATTTAAAAATCTATTCAAAAAGTTCTTCCAGAAAACACCAAGGTTTCGTTTAATTATAATTGTTTCATTTTTTATTTTTAGTTTTCATTAACATACATGACTTTAGTGTAAGATTAACTTTGACTATCCTCAAAGTTTATTGAATCTTAACAGCCATTTGATAGACAAATAAGTGTATGGTAAAGAGTACAATCACCCAAAGTTAACATACATGACTTTTAATCATTAATAAATCGATCCCTACACAACACATCCACATTTGACAACCACCTTTAAACAAACAAAAACAAAAGGCCATATAATAATAATATAGGAAGACTAATTAAGTTTCTTTCCTTTACTACTCTCCATTGCTGCTTATTCAATTAGTTGCAACTTGGAGTTTTGCAAGCATACATATACTATATGATATGATGATACCTTGAAAGAAAAAGCGTATCATACAATCAGATTTTAAAACAACTACTTGATTTGAAAATGTGAAAAAGTCAACATAAGCAACTGAGAATGCCTTGGCAATTGCTCAACAGTTAAAGCTAACAAACACCGATCAAACCCTAGCCGACTAGCGAAAAACCAAGAAAAAATTATATGACATCGGCTCCTGTATTTAGCTTTGAAGTCGGCTGCAATCTTCTTGAAAATCATTATTCTTCTCTTCTCTTATTATTTGTTTACTTTATTTGGTGTTGAATTATCGTTGTGAAACGGTATAATCACTGTGATAATCGTCGTCTTTTGACCCATGCACATAGTTAACACAAGGTTTGGAATCAAGTTATCACCTTAAATATTGCTGGGAGTGCTTGATTTTAATTTTCTTTTTGGTGTATTACCTCTTTTGGATCTATGTGAAAGGTGAAGCTGTTTGATTTGCTAGATCTATATCATTTGGTGTTTTGGGATCCTCGTGGTGATTGTGTTATGCGAGAGACTCATGGGCATCGTATTTCGAATCTCAATTTATGGTTTGAGATTTGTTCTCACATGATATTCCTGTAACACAAAGTTATGTTTTATTGATTTGTGTAACCATGCAACTTCCTATGAGCTCAGACAAATGATTGAAATCTACTCATTATTTTGCTAATAATTAGGCTTTATGATAATATTTTTATAAATCGAGTTTGTAAAGAGCGTTTTAGAGTCAAGTTCTTTGTAATATATATTTATAATGCTCTTTTATCGAAGGAAATATTTGTACTGTTTTCTTAAAAAAAATAAGCTAATAAACACGGACAGAATCACTCTTTACTTTACGAGTAAGTAAGTGCCTTTTACTCTTTTACACAAGGCAATCCCACCCAAGATTTGATTTTTCCTCCCTCATTATTCTACACAAAACCCACCCATTTGGTTAAAACATTTGAGAAATGTTACGGAGTAAACGCAGTAGCCTCTTTTGGAAGTTGGATTTTTTATAGATTCTTTGTCATTTTTTATTTTTCTTTTTAGTTGTCTTTTTTGAAAATATTATTTATGGACTCTTTATCATCTTTTATTTTTCTTTTATAATATTGACACGAGAATTAATAAACCAAAATGTATACGATTTCGATCATTATACAATACAATACGGGATAATGAGTAGATTAGTAATATCCCAATATACCTCAATACAATAATGACATGTTTACGTAAATGTAATGAAAATATGAGGAATTGAATTAAGGAGGAGTTAGAATCGAATTTCTGTTGAAGCTGTTCACTTAGGCCATCTCCAACCAAGGGCTAGCCAGAAGGCTCGTTTTAGCCCTCTGGCCCTCCAAGAAATTAATATTTTAATGAATAGTACAGGGCCATATTTGCATCTATCTCCAATCGAGGGCCAAAGGGCCATAGGGCTCGTTTTAGCCCTGTCACAAAAAACCGTCTCCAACCGAGGGCCAAAGGGTCAAACATAATTTATTATTTAAAAGCTAGAACTTAAATTCAAATCTAACAGCTAAGTGACGTCAGCTAGCCGTTGGTAGCTGACATCATGCTGACGTCAACTAGCTGTTGGATTTGAATTTTTCTTTTGCTATAAATAGGGTGGATATTGGGCTATAATTCACATAACTTTGAATTCAATTTATTTCAATTCAATCTCTTTCAATTCAATCTTTTTCAATTCAAGTTTGCAATGAATTCCAACTTTGGATGCTCTTCGGATTCCAATTGGGGGTCCTCATCCAATTCCAAATTGGTAGCAAAATGGGCGCAAATGAGACGAGAAGATGTGGAGTCTAATGAAGAAGTTCAAGTAAGGCGCAACAAACAAAATAGAGCAGCAGCCATGGCTGGCTGCGTCAGCCAACTGAGGAACAACGTCAATGAGGTGGCTTTATTGTTGGTCACTCTTACAAACCACGAAACAGGGCGATGTTGCAGCCAATCTGATGAACAACTACTTCAACCCCAACTCGGTGTACACAGAAGAGCATTTCAGACGTTACTTTCGGATGAGGCGTCATGTCTTCGAGCGTTTACTTCGTGATGTCCAACAGGTCAATCCATACTTTCGACAGAAGCAGGACAAAGTAGGCCATCCTGGTTTCTCACCTCATTAGAAGGTTATTGTTGCACTCTGAATGATAGCCTATGGCTCCCCAGCTGATTCGATGAATGAAACCCATGGTATGTCTGAGTCTACATGCCTTGATACTATTGAACAATTATGTGACACAATTGTTTAGGTTTACAAAGACGAGTACCTCCGCGAGCCAAATCAAGAAGATCTGAATCAGCTCCTTTGCAAAGTTGAAGACCGTGGGTTTCCGGGCATGATAGGGTCATTAGACTGCATGCATTGGGATTGGAAAAACTGTCCCATCAGATGGCAAGAAGGCTTTAGCGGAAGGTTGAGAAACCCAACTGTTGTGTTAGAGGCGGTTGCCTTATATGACACATGGATCTGGCATGCTTTCTTTGGAGTCCCTGGATCCCAAAATGACATTACAGCTCTTGGGTGTTCACCCCTCTTCAATAACGTGACGGAAGGTAAAGCACCTCAACTTGACTACTACATCAACAACCGTCAATACAATATGGGGTATTACTTGGCAGATGGCATCTTCCCAAAGTGGGCGACACTTGTCCAAGCAATTCCAAACCCTAGGAATGACGTAGAAAAGTTGTTTACCTTACACCAAGAGGCATACAGGAAAGATGTTGAGAGAGCTTTCGGTATTCTACAAGTACGATGGAAGAGCGAATCGGCAAGAGGGTGGAGTCGAGAAAATTTGGACTCCATGATGATGTCTTGCATCATATTACACAATATGATAGTGGAGGATAAGTGAGATGGGTATATTGATGAAGAGTCCGATGACAACCAAGAAGATCCAAATAGATCAAGAAGGGCTCGTGCAAAAATATATGATGGACCTAATTTGCCTTTCAATCTAAGAACTGATAGTATCTCTATAAATGAATACACGAGGCACTATAGAATGGTACGTTCTCGTGCCACAAACAAGTACCTACAGCAGGATCTTGTTGCACATCTTCGGGCCAAAAGAAGCATGGAGTAGGCGTTTAAGTTTTATGTTGTTAAATGTTTTTAAAAATATTGTTTAAGTTTCATGTTGTTAAATATTTTTTTTATGTTGTATAATTTGTATGTTGGTTAATGTTATTAATGTTGTTTCATGTTACTTAATTTAATTTAATGTTGTTTCATGTTACTTAATTTAATTTAATGTTGTATAATGGCTTAGGAAGTTATAGGCAAAAATATAATTTAAAAAAAATATGAAACAAATTTTGTGAAATAGAAGTTATAGGAAAAAAATAGAATTTAAAATAAAATGAAACAAATTTTATGAAATAGAAGTTATAGGAAAAAAATAGAATTTAAAATAAAATAAAACAAATTTTATGAAATAGAAGTTATAGGAAAAATTTTGTTAAAAAAAAAAAAAAACTGTTAAAAAAAAAAAAAAAAAACCAAATGGCCCGAAAACCAAATAGCTGATATTAGCTAGCCGTTGCATTTGAATTTTAGCTTAAGGATTCCTGTCGGTTAGCCCCCCAACCCTTAGCATAATCGGAATATAAACTAATATGATTACTAAAATGACATTGTCCCAAATCAAATAATTTATAATAAAATTTGATATAATATATAATAGTAAGAAAAAATTAAATTGCTTTTTTATTTCATAGACACATTAAAATGCTTTTGTTTATAAATTTAAGTATGTACTTTAATATTTAAATTTTCTCGCTCAAAATTGTAATTTATTCTCTTCGGCATATGTATGGAGTTGTGCATAATGTGAATTAGGATATAATAGGAAGAAAAAATGCATTCCTGATTCGTTCACCATCTAGGAATCCAAATACCTCATCCATGGACGGAATCCAATTCCTCTAATTTCAGGAATTGAATTCTATTTTTCGTGTGGATTCCTTCAAATTATGGTAAACATAAAAATTATCCGTAACCGAAATTGAATTCTTTATTTTCATTTCGATTACAGATGTGTAAACACGCCATAAGTGCATTTTGCTCGCAACCTTTAATTTTCTTTGCCCAAATTCCCACATTGAGGTTTGACTATTCGCCATCCCCAAAATTGTAAAGCCAACAGTGCGTTACAAGAAGGAACCCTCTTTCTACTCTTTTGCCTAATGTGGGACCCATCACCAACTCCCTTCTGACCTATTTTAATTTTATCTTTGTGCCATCATGTGCCATGCAAAAAATATTCACATTTAAAAAATTCCCCAAAAAATCCACCGTTGGATCCCTCTTTTGACTTTTGCGCCATCTTTTCCTTTCTTTTATAACCCCCTCAACCCTCCTTCCCTTCTCTCAAACTCCCCCAATTCATAACCTCCATCCTCTTCCTCTCTCGATTCTCAAAGCCGAAGCCAGCTCCAATGGCTGTAGATCTAGTTGGCTTCTCCAAGATTGATGATCGGACGGCCATGCAAGAAGCTGCCTCCGCTGGCCTGCAAAGCATGGAGCACCTCATCCGCGCCCTATCCAATCACCCCCCGTCCCAAACCCCACTCGATTGCCGGGAAATCACCGACTTCACCGTGACAAAGTTCAAGCAGCTAATCTCTGTTCTGAACCGGACCGGTCACGCGCGGTTCCGCCGTGGACCGGCCAATCCACCTTCCGACCCGGTCCACCCAAAACCTCAGACGACTTTGACTGTTTTTCAAACACCAAAGTCCGACAAAGATTCCTCCACTACTCTGTCCCCGCCGCTCTCCACTACGTCGTCGTTTCTATCCTCCATCACAATCGGTGACGGCAGCGTTTCCAACGGTAAAGCCTTCTCATCGATTTCCGTGCCTCCGGCGCCGGCATTCTCCGCTGGAAAACCCCCCCTTCCACAATCTCACCGGAAACGGTGTCACGACGGCGAAACAGCTAAAACATCATCGTCTGGCCACTGCCATTGCTCTAAAAGAAGGTACTACTGAATCCTGGATTCTGAATCTCTGATACACTGTACAAAATACACCCTTGGCACATATTAGCATACGTTTTTGTTGTTTGAAAATTTTCATTTAAATTATTTTGTTTTTTTAATTATTTATAGGAAGTCTAAGGTTAAGAGGACGATCAGAGTGCCCGCGGTTAGTTCGAAAATCGCCGATATACCGGCCGATGAGTTCACCTGGAGAAAGTACGGTCAGAAGCCGATCAAGGGCTCCCCTTACCCGAGGTAATATTCGATTCCTTTTAATCTCAACCGCACATCGGCTTGATCTTTTCAAAGTCAAACACAGATCTCGATGTGCTTTCTTTTGAATGATAGAATACCAAAATTATTAATTTATTTATTTGTTTTGCAGAGGGTATTATAAGTGCAGTACAGTGAGAGGCTGTCCGGCGAGGAAACACGTGGAGAGAGCTCAGGACGACCCCACTATGCTCGTCGTTACCTACGAGGCTGAGCACCATCACCCGCACCCTTCCCTCACAGCCGCAAATGTGGGCCTTGTTTTCCAATCTTCTAAGGAATGAGGCGGGGTCCACATTTTTTGATTCGATCATCACCGTTGAAGGCACTCCGTGACGGTGGAGCACTATTACAGCAAGTGAACTTAGCGCTCTTTCAGAAGTCAAAAAGGAAAAAATGCTGAATTACAGAAATGAAATATACGGTGTAATGGAAAATGGAGAGGGGTATGATGTAAATTATGAAAGAAAAGAAGGGTTAAGGAGAAAGATGGAAAATAGAATATATAGTTTTGATGAATTAAATATATTGAATGGGGTGATGATATGGACACAAAAGTTTAGACGTGCTTGTTGATCATGTGATGCGACAGTTTCCGATTGAATTATTTCTTTATAACCATGAACTATAACATCAAGCGTGGTCTAACAATTTAGGCTTCTATTTTCCTATTGAATTTAAGAAAAATTAATGAAAAAGTTTTGAAAATTTTGAGTTTTAACAATAAGGATAAAATAAATGATAAATTGAATAGTATCTGAATTGATTTTTTAGTGTAAAAATATAATTTTTCGTTAAAATGAACAGTATCAAAAATTTTTCGTTAAAATTCTCTTGAATTTATTCAATTTTTTATTAATTTATAATTTTCATACGAAATTTGTTGTGTTGGTGGACGGAGAATTGGATTCTTTGGTTGAAATCTTCGTCGATTGTGGAAGAAGTCAAAAAGCACGCGCATCAGAATAATCTTTTTCTTTCCTTCATAATTTTGATGTCGTTTAATGCTGATAAAGTCAATGAAGTTATTCGTGGGTGGGGGCTACTCCAGCTAATGCAGATTGGTTGTGTTCGTTGACCATTGAAATCTGTGTCTGCTGTTTGATACTTGTATGGCGTTTAAAATGTCAGTGACATTCAATGATAAAGATTAGGAAAGATGGGGCTTTGGGTTTGGGCAGTTACATGAGTTTTGAATGGGAGCTGCTGCTGACGACCTTCTTGGTCATTTTGTTTTTTGATTTAGCGTTGCATGATGATTCGAATTGTTTATTATCTAGTTCGTTATTTAAATTTTAACTCGATAGAAAAATAATCACATTTGAGATCTTCTAATGGTTTGAAAATTGTTGTTAAGCTTTCATTGTTTAGTTAAATAACATGGTTGTTAGTCTATTTATTGGTTAAAAATAAGATGGATAAATGTATTTTTAACTTGGTTCATTTTTGGTATTGTCAAATCACGACGCAACATTGTAAGATAAGAAATACGACCGAGAATGTTCAAATAAAAATGTTTTTAACACTCTTTTATGATTTATGACCTACCAGAGTATAACAAACTTGGAATTTTATTCTTATCTTTTAAGTCTAAATATTAATCCAAACTTTTCTAATGCACCGTAGACTCGGAATGTATTTGAGTTTTGGTGGTGTACAATTAATGTAAAGAGGAGGAATCTAAAACGAACATTTCTTAAAGAGGAAGAAGATAGTTATGAGCCGAGATGTTATATTTGATGAAGATAAGATATGGAATTGGAGTGACAATGAATCTGGGCAGGAACATATGCGCAATTTTTTTCCCCTTCCACAGATTGTGATCCTTTTAACATTTGAAGATGCTCTGATACAGACAAATGGCAGGATGCTACATATATATACGCTCGCATAAATTAAATCCATTGAGAAGAATGATACTTGGGAGTTGATTAATCTTCTAGAAAGGCAAAAGACAATTGGGGTCAAGTGAGTTTATAAAACCAAGCTGAATGGAAACCGAAAAGTTGATGATCATATAGCTCGTTTTGTGGCAAAGGGTTACAAGTAAGAGTACGACATTGATTTCGAGGAGGTGTTCGCTCTTTTGACCTTGTTCTTTCAATGGTTGCTCAAAACTCGTGGTTCATCTTACTATGTCAGCTATATTACATGGGATGTTGCAGGACTCTCTGTATTGAGGAACCTCCTGGTTATTTGCAACAAGGAGATGAATAAAAAGTTACAAACGGAAGAAATTATCGAACGGCTTAAAACGAACTCCAAGAGCGTGATGCTCTTGCATGGACGCTTACGTTGCTGAAGAAGGCTTCCAGTAGTGTCCACATAAGCATATTGTGCTCATCAAAGTAGGAGATGGAGGAAAGATAATTGTTGTGTGCTTGTACATGGATAACTTGATCTACACATGTAACGATAAACCCATGGTTGATGACCGGGTTTGACGCTAAAAATTTGGAGAGATTCCGGATGAAAGATTAAAGTTCAGTTCACACTCCAACAACACCAGATTTGAAGCTATTGGAGAATCCTAGAGGGAATAGGGTAGATTCTACTATTTACTAAGCAAGTTGTGGGTAGTTTGTTGTATCTACGTCAACTAGCCACTACACCACATCAACCACGGCTGATTGACCATGGACATAAGAAGTCTGTTATAAATAGTCCAATTTAATCACAGACGTTTGCAGTCCGTGGTAAATAAATTGGTTTAACAACGGGCGTAGAGTGGCCCGTGGCTGAAGGTGTTAAAGCAACAACGTGCGTTTAAATCCCGTTGTAGTTTGCTTAAATATTATTACTAGGCATGTCCGTGGTTACAAAAAATTTGACAATAGTGCCTTTCAAAACTACCACGGACCGTAAGTGTTATCGTTACAATTATAATTTTTAATTTTTTTAATCAACCAGTATAACAACACACACTCGAATTTCAGATCTCAGTTGTGGAGCAAAAAATAATCAAGAAATATATGGAGAAGACACGTGGATCTTTGGGTGAAAAAGACAAAATTACTGTCGAGGCATACTGGAACTCCCATGCGCAAGTAGCGGACAATCATGACTCAATTAAGGTAAAAAATGATCAAAGTAGGTATTTATTCAAAGCCTATTTCATCAATTCTCATCAAATCCTCCCCCATAAGGTAATTCCTATTTATTCTTTTCAAAATAGGATTAATTAGCTAATTAATTGATTAATTACCCATTTAATTGCCTAATTAATTACAATTACACCCAAAAACCACCATAAGTGGCCTGACCCTTTTTCTCCAAATAGGGGCTAGCCACACCCCTATAAATAGCTAGTATTTCTCCCAAAAACCTAAGTCCAACTTTGTTGCAAAATTCTCTAAATTTCTCTAAACACTTTTCCCTCAAATTCTAACTGTAGCATCAGAGGTTCTTTAGCCAAAGCCCCCCCATTCATCGTGGGCGCGTGAGGCTCTTGGCTTTGACCAAAGGTGTTAATTGTTTTGCAGGTGCATTTTCGTCCAAATAGAAGAAGGCAGAAATTTGCATCCACAAATTGGTGCTTCTATTGAGAGCTTGAGTCACACACTCGTAGAAGACTCTCGCATTCAAAGTTTTTCGTTTTCTTGTTCATTTGTAGATTTTTCGTATGTTCTTATTCTTGAAATTTTTATTTATAAATTTTTTTCGATAAAACATAAAAGAAAAGTACAATGGCAAGAGATTCAGAAACCTTGATGAATGAAAATCCCTACGTTCAAGAATTAGGACCACGGCGATCCATAAGGCTCACCACGACGATGAGTGGAGTAGCTCCACCCCCATAGGGCACCACCGTAGCAACCACCATGGCAGCCACCCTCGGCAAAGCCTACGGTGCCAAGACCATGTCGTTCCATTCAAGCCCGAACGGGCCTAAGCCAAAGGATAGCCGGTCCGAGCTGCCTAAGCCCAACGTGTTACCGAGTTGAGCCCAGGTTTAGCACCCACGTATGCTATATGTTGAGCAACCCATTCCTGTGGCCTTTCAAGCAATTCCTACTTGTCTAAGACCGATTCAACCATCCTGGCTCCAAATTTCTGGACTGACAATTGAACCGGGGGCATTTTCACCCCATTTATCTGTGAATTTGACATTCCCCAACTCAAATCTTACACCTGGAGTTTACCACACTTCCACTACTCAAGGAGATGCATTCTTTCCAAGCTTTTCCAATCTAAACGAAGAACAACACTTGTCTTGACAAGTCATAGAGTTGATGAGCGCCCTTGTACAGCAGACGACCTTAGTGAATCAGCTTTTGCAGCGCACTGAGATGCAACATGCCCCTAACGAGGTGTCTAGAAGTAGGACAAGGGCATATGAGGAACCTCTCCAGTAGCGACTCGGCAAGTAGCCACTTGACCAACCACGAATCGAGCGTTCCTGCAGTGCACACTCCTAACTAGGTCTTCGAGACAGCGTGTACTCCTGTCTTTGCGCACAGAGGAGCGCGTACTCTCGATTAGGCCCACTGACAAGCATACACTCATGGTTGGGACCATACTCTGAAAATCAACATGAGCAACCTTTCAGTTAAAATGTTCATTCACAGCTAGGCCCGTAATGAGCATCATTCGCCTTACATCGGATGTAGGCGGCACAACGGACAGAGAGAATCAGTCATTCAATTTGGCTCAAGTTCAATCGGTAGCATACGAGGAAATCGCTTGCCTACCAGGAATATACCATATGCATCGCAGCCGCAGCATAGATGAGCTGAACAGATGGAAGAGTAGCAGGTCAAGACCGGGGGCACACCGGGAGCAGCCGAGAGCTTCGCTGCCCCAACAAAGGGAAATTTAGGAGGAAGTAAAGATGTTTTTGAATGAACGATTGCGTGATTTCCAACGCAACGAAGTCACTGACGAAGCGCTACGATGGGACATGACCAACATGAGCAGGTCACCCTTCACGGACGAGATCAAGCAGGTAGAGCCTCCACACAAGTTTAGCACGCCATATTTCACATCCTTCAAAGGAGATGGAGACTCGGATAGGCATTTGAAGCATTACCGAACCGCAATGGTCTTTTATCGGAACAACGATGCTCTTATGTGCAAGATATTTGCCACCACTTTACAAGGCGAGGCGCAAGATTGGTTCCACACTCTGCCACCACTATCCATCCAGAGTTTTGATGATCATTCCTTGGTTTTCACCAAAGAATACGAATCCTACCGCTCAATTAAGAAAAAGTCCGACCATTTATTCAATGTGAAGAAGAACCCAAATGAGTCGCTTCGTGACTACGTAAAGAGGTTCAAAGCAGAGAAGGCTAAGATAGTCGGATGCAACAATTCAATAGCAAGTGTAGTCTTCCAAAAAGGACTCCCAACAGACCACCTGCTATTTGGGAAGATCATGAAAGAAGATCTAACTTTGGCAGACTCTTTTGGTCTAGTAGAGAAGCATGCTCTCTGGGATAAGGCACAACGAGTAGATAAGAGGCCCGAGCAGGCACGGAAATAGTCGATAGTGTCTCAAAAGAAGGAGGATGGGAAGTAGTAGAACCAAAGCAGGTAAGAGG